TGTTATGATTTTGATTATTTTGATTCCATTTCATAATAAGTTTTATTTCCGTTGTGCGGGAGTGGTTACATGGATATCTATTGTTATTCATTTTTGATTCAATGTGGTTGTGTGCATATTGTATTATGCGCTCTTTGTTGTGGTTGTGCGGGACTGGTTACGTGCATTTTTGTAACTGGAAAATTTCTGTTGAAAATAATATATAGCTACTGCATTACAAATTCAACATTATTTTTTTTTAAGTTTCTGTCAGCACAATAACAGTGCTTCCGTCATCACAATAAAAATGCTTCTTTCAAGAAGCGTTGTTAACAGCTGTTGTCCAGTTTTTGCCTTGTTGCAACCATATAGACTTGTTATGCTGATAAGCGCCGTTATAGGTAATTTTCACTATTAGATTACCTTTTTCATTTTAATTTTCATTTAATTTCTTTAATTTCTTTCAATTTCTATTTATTTTTCTTTATTTTCCATTTCCATAATATTGTAAAATAACCAAAAATATCATTTGATGTAAATATTTTCATTTCTTATTTATTTTATTTTATTATATATTTATTATTTTAGATTAATTAGCTTATTTGCTTTAAAGACCTCAAAAAAAATTCTTTTTAATTAGTTCTTGTGAAATAATCCTTTCAATTTTGATTTATGTTTAAAGTTAATTTGTAGGTTGTAATTTTCGAGCTTGGACTTTAATTTCTATTAATTAGTTTTTTAAAATCAGTTTGACGTCTAACTTTTACATTCTTGTCCTTTATATATCTCGTCATTAATGTTCCTTGTAATTTATTCTTGTTACTCAAGTTATAATTAGAATTTTTGGTTGCTTTTGTGCCCACATATTCCCTTAGGGTGTTCTTGATTTAACTTAATCTCCGATAAATATAAATTAAGATTAGACCATAGGCTCTCTCATACAAGCATGAAAACATTAGCTAGGATTCCCTTTAATCTCACCATTAGGATTAATCTCTGACATGACAACATTAGATAGTTTCTCTTCAATTATAACTTTAGTACTATTCTGCATGATAATCTTAGGTTAGAAATTCCCTTTAGTCATCCTTTTCTTTTTCATAAAACACAAAAATTTTCTTAATCAAAAATGCAAAAAAAAAAAAAAAATTTAACAAATATGATATGTGTTATGCATCATGAGCCTTAAGTATATCTGTAAAGATGAGTGGGAGTTTTGCTTACCTCTTCTTAGAGTATTTTTGCACGTGAGACGCTTGGATCATTTGTGCGAAATACTCGCTTCTATTGTCAAAAACTTTAGTATGATACATATATCTAACCTTTCCAAATCCTTATAATATACTTCACAAATCCAAACCTTTTTTCCTTCGGGCTTTTCCGTTTAAAACCTTTTCAAAAAGGGTATGCTACTTAGCATTGCAAACAAAAAACACACAACAAACCAAACACTTTCAACAATAACTATGGAGTTCTGATTCCCTTTGGGATACGTAGGTACTGGATTGTAAATTCGGATGAAATCAATAATAAAAATATCTTATTTTTTTCTCAGGTAATCATCCACCTTCCCTTTGTAAGCAATAAGATATTAAATACCGTTTCATGCCTAGACAACTTAGATGGTTTCCATCGAGTACAATGGATGTAAGGGATGCTAGTACCTTCCCATTAAATATGGTTGCGATAACCATACACTATCCTTTCACCCAAGGTTTTCTTGATGTTTTCCCTTTCCCCTCATGGGAATTAATAAAGTTCGGTGGACACTCTCATAAGTCCATCTGTGATTGTGCAACCCCCTTTTCGCATCACGAAGATCGTATTTTTCGAGGTACGACAGATAGGATTGCTTATTTTTTGCGTGCACCATCAGCGCCACCAACTTTAGTGACTAAAATTCAGTAGGGGGCTAACCCCCTGAAAATAGGATTGTAAAAAACAATCTAGGTCTAGAAAGCCTAGACATGGTCCCAGTGCAACACAATCTTGATGCTAATCAAGTCTTGGGACAATCCCGACAAAACAACGTTGGGGTACATGATAGCATCGCCAACGTCGTCGAGCTTGTTTTGGTCCAGAATCGCCTCAACATACGCCTCCATAGGAAAAGCTATATATCCTCATTGTCTGAGTATGTATGGAAAAATGAATTGCCTTGGTGCTGGAAAGCCCCAAAATTCACCAAGTATGTTGGCGATACTGGTGAGTCTGACATCAAACATATCGCTCGGTACCAGAACGAGGCTAGTGATTTAGCTAACAATGAGAATCTAAAAATCAAGTATTTTCCAAACTCATTGATAAAGAACACTTCCACATGGTTCACCACCCTTCCCCCAAATTCTATTTTTACATGGGCCCAATTAGAGAGGGAATTTCACGAGCAATTCTACATGGTACAATGCAAGATTAGTCTCAAGGAATTAGCCTATGTAAGAAGAAAGGTGGTTGAAAACATCGATGATTATCTTGGTAGGTTTAAAACACTGAAAGAGATATGTTTTGCACATGTTCTAGAACATAAGTTACGTGAGAGACATGGCCCAATTGGCCGATAGAGTTCGATAAGTCGAACGATTAAAGGCTTAAAATGATAGAACTTCCAGGTTCGATAAAAAGAAGGTAGCTTATGTAAAGGGCGACAACATAGAAAACTCATCTGACTCAGAGTATGAGTATGTGGAGGAGAATGAGGTTAATGTGGCCGAACTAAAGCAAGGGCCTCCCTACACAGGTAAGCTGCTAAAACCCTCAAATAGAAAAAATCCCGTAGAGCCCAAAAATTAAAAAAAAAATTGTTGGTAGAACATATACCTTCGGCGTTACTAAGTGTGACGAAATCTTTGATCTATTGGTTGCTGATGGATAAGTAGTTGTTCCTAAAAGGGTTAAAGTTCCACAATTATAAAAGTGAAAGAAAAAAGGTTTTTGTAAATTCCATAACTTATTGGGTCATAAAACCTCTCAATTTATACTTTTCAGGGACTTGGTGCAAAATGTTCTCAAGGATGGCAAACTCAAGTTTGCTGACAAGCAGAAACCACACTTAGAAGAGGAAGCTGAAACAAAAGTTGAGGCTCTCTTTTTCAAACTATTGGACATCATGGTTGTCAACATCGTCGACAATGCTAGGGCTGAAGACAGCATACAAACTACGAGGATCAAGCAGCAAAGGCTTATCCTAAAGCTGAAGAGGAGCTGGTTGATTTTTTGAATCGTTGTAGTTTGAAAGATTCAAATATATTGTTGTGTCCTAGGTGCAACTATGTGTTTGACAAAGAAGTTACTAAAGCGTGGGAGAGAACAAACCCTTACCAAGCTAAAAAGTTTGTCTGCTAGGATAAACCCAAGGAACCTTTCTCCAACAAAGGAAAAGGCATAACAAAGTTCCAAGGTAGGACATACGTCCCCAATGAAGATGTATCTCCTAGAGAATGGTTACACCCTGCTAAAAAATCAAAAACTTACGAGGGGAAATAGAAAGTGGTGAATGTGGTTTCTGGTTCCTCATACAAAGGCAACTCTCAAGTATCGAAGAAATATTCTTATGTCTCGCAGAACTACATGGGAAAAAAACCCCATGACTAGGACTTAATGGAGGAGACATTAGAGAAACAAGAAAGTTGCACAAGAGGCTGAAAGATCCGACAGAAGTGATAGCAATGAATCTGTCGAGAAAGGCCAGAGTAGTCGACGACCAGTCAAGCAAAGATTGTTTCCCCTTCTATCAGCCATAAAGAAGGAGAAAGCAATGAAAGATAAAGCAATCGAAATTGTCGATAGAATACTATCATTCAGGTTTTGAGCCAGAATTAAATATGATTTGCAATATGATATTTGTATGGCCCTTAGACTATGACACAATCACATAAGTGATCGAGGAAGAAGGTCTTGATGAAGAACTAGTTACCCACAAACCTCTGGCCTATTTTGTAATGGCCATGTAACAACACCTGAAACCTCTATATTTAAGGGTCAGGGTAAATGACGTGAGGATCAACAAAATTTTGATCGACTATAGGGCATATTCCAATGTTATACCCCAATCCCTCTTGAAGCAAATAGACAAATTTACCACAGATTTAACCTGGAATAACATGATATTATCCAACTATTAGGACAAAACTAGCAAAAACATTTAGGGTCTCACTCCTACTAAAATTATATAGGCCTATTTTCATCCTTTCTCCTTAAACTACTATGATTAAAGACCTAAAAATACCCTATTCATTCTATCTAAAATCAAACCTATGGAAAAATCTGTTTGAGTAAGGTCTTGAATGTGCTTTTCTATTGTTTTTTTACATGCATTTTTGAATCGTCAAATTAGCTTGAGGAAGAAGGAGAATTTTCGATTCTGTCAAAAAATCAAATAGAACTGAATTCAACTATAATAAAAAGTCACTCGAATTAAACCGAACCGTTTCAATTTATCTTAAATTAAGTTGCATCAAATTTATCGATTTGATATATTAGTTTAAAATTCCAAACTGTTCCAAATCCATAAGACATTTTTCCTAAAGCAAACCATTTATTAAAGAAATGAATCATTTTTCTTTTTTAAATTTGAATGCAAAATATCATTGGTTTTAATTCCTTCTTTATCTAGTCGTATTTTTCCATTTCATAATAAGCAAATCTTGATTAAAGACATTTCTCAAAATATCATGAATTGAAAGCAAAATAATTATTCTTTTCCATTATTCCTTGTGTCGCAAAACTTACACTAACTTTCACCACCCTTTCATCTGTGTTAATAGTCAAGACTAATGATAGCGCCAAAGTATTGAAAGCAGTAACGCACACACAATAGAATCATTATTCAATCAAATTACAATACATAAATCATGTAAAAATTACACCATAATGACCAATGGATGTATCATCACATATTGAAAATATAAATAAAAATCATCATATCTAATTAAAAATTTGGACTAAATTCGTCATATCCACCTAAAAAGATATGGATCATCAAGTCCATAAAGACATGATTTTATTAAAGACAGTATATAAGGTCAAAATCCATTGTCAAGATTGGCGTCATAACCAAACGGAATTGTTTCATCATATTCAGCCGCCCTCATCATCATCTCCATTAACATAACGTCATCATTATTCATAGCCATCCCAACATCGCCATGGCTCATCATTGCATTTTCTTCATTATTAGGCGTGGTTGGTGGTGGCAGTAGCCGCGGTAATAGTGGCAGTGGTGGTGGTGGCGGTGGTAGGAGCGCCGGTGGCGGTGTCATCTGGTGATGAACTTGACTTTCACTTTGATTTTCACCACCATTCATCATCATCATCTCCATAAACATCATGTTCATGTCATCATTATCCATAGCCATCGCAGCATGGTCATGACTCATCATTGCAATTTCATCATTATTAGGCGCGGATGAAGGTGGTGGCGGTGGCGGTGGCGGTGTCATTTGGAGATGGACTTGGCTTTGAGCAGCCATGACTTGACTTTCACTTTGATTTTGAGGAATATTAATTTCGTTTTCAGCTGATTCAATCCTTCTATAAACCTCCTTCAGATTCATATCGATCATCCAATCAAGATTATTCAAATCTTCCATGGACATATCGTTTTGCAAAACGTTCCCAGCTTTGAGACATTGAAACATCACCATGGTTGTCTCTTTCTCTCTGTTATCTTCCCGTAGCTTTTCGAATTGCTTTTCAGCCTTTGAAATCCTTTCTTTCAGAAAACTCTCTTGATTCACCATCTTCTTGCTTTGTTCCATCTCTGTCATAGTCTTCAATTTAGAAAGCACCTTTTCGACTCCGGACGGCGATGGCCAGATCTCTGGTTGAGGATCGTATGGACTATAAATGATAGCACAAGCATCAATGCCACAAAGGGTTGTTAGTTCATCAACCATCTTCACTAAACCCTTCTCCCTTTTCTTGTAAGCTTCTTTTCTTGCAGTATCATTCTCAATGAAAGCAGGCTTCACATTTTTGCTAGTCATGGTTTTGACAAGAATAAGATGAAAATCTATAGAGAAAATGAAGAAAACTTGATGGCTGTGATTTTTCTTCTTGTGAATATATATAGACCAAATTCAATATACATGTTAGATTAGATGTATGTCTCAATATTTTTCCAAGTGCTAGTTTTTTTTGGGTAAAATCAAAACCTTTATTTGCATTCCATTCGTGTAGAGATAGAAATCAAAGTCTTTATTTTCATTCCATCCATGTCAAAATATCTTTTTGTTTTTAGAAGGATGTATCGAGAATCGTAATCTCTAAAGATTCATGCAATATCAAAAAATATTCATTCCATCTATGTAGATATTGAATATCAAGTACTTTTATGACATTTAACTTTTATAATTTGCAATAACTAAATAATTGGTATGTATTTATTATGTATTACGTATGCGATTGCGTAGCGAAATATATTTCTGTTTTTGAAATGATATAATAAGAATTGTTTCTAGTATGATAAGTTTAATAGAAGAGATTACAAAAAGTTATTAAATATGTGATTCTTTAATAGAAGAGATTATTTTTACATAGTGATGATGAAAACTTTTTTTTTATTCGTAAAGCAAGAATCATATATAATTAAAAAAAATAGATTTATATAAGGGATTTTTAAAAGTATGATTAACTAAATTATATGTTTAAATTGAACTGAAATAATTAATAAACTGAATTATTTAATTAAAACAATTCAAATTCAATATAAAACTCATTCTGAATCAATTTTCTTTTATAAATTGATTTAATTATATAAATTAATTATTTTTTAATAAAAAGAATAAAAACTTAGTTGAGAGCAAAAAACTTTCTAAAAAAAAGATTAGAAAATTAGAAAATATTATTTTGTCCGAAAAATAATTTTGGAAATATATAAAAGTCGAGTTTTTTTATGGAAATATGGAAAAATCGAGTTTTTTCTGAAATATAAAAAAATCGATTTTTTCAGAAATATGAAAAAGTCGAGTTTCTTCAGAAATATGAAAATGTCGATTTTTTTCGAAATATGAAAAAGTAAAATTTTTTTCGGAAATGTGAAAAAGTCGATTTTTTTTCAAATATAAAAAGGTCGAGTTTTTCCAGAAATATGAAAATTTGAGTTTTTTTTCAGAAATATGAAAAAGGTCAAGTTTTTTCGAAAATAGAAAAAGTCGAGTTTTTTCGGAAATATGAAAAGGTCGAGTTTTTTCAATAATATAAAAAAATTGAGTTTTTTCGAAAATATGAAAACGTCGAGTTTTTTCATAAATATGAAAAAGTTATGTTTTTTCGAAATATGAAAATGTCGAGTTTTTTTCGAAAATATGAAAAAGTCGAGTTAATATAAAAAAATATAAATTTTTGTGAAATTAAAAATTTTGATTTTAAAAGGATTCAAAATATATGATTGATTTAAAATTGTAAACGGAATATAAACTAGTTTATATATATAAACTAGTTTTAAATTAGTTTTAAATTGAATTGAAATCATTTTAGTAGTTAACTAAATTCTTATTGAAGTGGTTATTGCAAACTGAACCATACCATAAATGTGACTTCGTTCAGAGCAATTTATGAACCATAAACACGCCTAATTTATACATGAAGTTAAGAGCACCACCTATTATGAAGAAAATAGGTTTATACAAGGAATTAAGGGCACCACCTATTATGGAAAAATTCTTCTAATTCATTAATTGTGAACCATGGGTTTATATATATATATATATATATATATATATATATATATATATATATATATATATATATATATATATATATATATATATATATATATATATATATATATATATATATATATATATATATATATATATATATATATATATATATATATATATATATATATATATATATATATATATATATATATATATATATATATATATATATATATATATATATATATATATATATATATATATATATATATATATATATATATATATATATATATATATATATATATATATATATATATATATATATATATATATATATATATATATATATTAGATCTTGTATTGGAGTCTGCTGCAAAATATGAATCAGAAGAAGATGATGAAGACGGTATGATGAAAGTTGCACAAAATAATTCAAAAGTGTGTGTTTACACTAAGCTTTAGGTTCGATTCGCCTCCACCAATTTATACAATTTGGATGCAAATGGGTTAATCGGAAAATCCCCTTCATGATACTTTTGAACCTTAACGTGAATTGGACATTCACATTAAGCATATATATCAACGATATTTTACAGAATAAAGTTCTCTCATTTATTCTCGTGCACTAGAAAAATAAAAGAATGACTTAGATATAATTTTTGGCACTTGAAACAATTAGTTTTTGTGTATATTTTATGCCTAACAACAAGTATCTCTATTTATAGAAATAACTTATACCAGGGAGAAACAATGTTTCAATGGTTTCAACACGACCATTTGAGAATCATTGTATATCAATAGCAACAAACCTTTTCATGAAAAATAATTTTGATATGGTAGCTGCACCTTATGACCATGCGCCCAATCATTATAGGGTCTCTGGTTCTGATCTCACCTGATCAAAAAAGAATCAGTACTCTGTCATGCGTTGTGAGTTGTTGCCTTCACCGGTGTTATAGAGGAGGAGGGGGTGTACCCACAAGAAGACTGTGACCTATCTGAGGAATTAGCCAGGCTTCTGAAGCAGGAGGAAATGGCCATTTTGCCTCATCAGGAGGATATTGAAGTCGTCAATTTGGGTATCGAGGATGAAAAGAAAGAAGTCAGAATAGGGGATGCTTTGGGAAACGATGTCAAGAGGAGATTGGTTGAGATGCTCTGTGAGTATATGGATATCTTTGCTTGGTCTTACCAAGACATGCTCGGACTGGATACATATATACTGGTACACCGGCTGCCTCTCCGAGAAGAATGTCCATCAGTGAAGCAGAAATTGAGAAGGACAAGGCTTGATATGGCAATCAAGATTAAATAAGAGGTTCGAAAGCAATTGGACGCTGGTTTTCTTGCTATTACCAATTACCCTCCGTTGGTCGCTAACATTGTTCCTGTACCTAAGAAAGATGGAAAGATCAGGATGTGTGTTGATTACAGAGATCTGAATAGAGTGAGCCTTAAAGATGATTTCCCGCTCCCCTACATTGACGTGTTAGTTGATAACACTGCTCAATATTCTATGTTTTCCTTCATGGATGGCTTCTCTGGGTATAACCAAATCAAAATTGCCCTAGAGGACATGGAAAAAACTACCTTCATAACACCGTGGGGGAATTTTTGCCACAAATTGATGCCCTTTAGATTGAAAAATGTTAGGGCAACTTATCAGCGGGCAATGGTGACTCTCTTTCATCATATGATTCATCAAGAGATTGAAGTCTATTTTGATGACATGATTGCGAAGTCACAGGCGAGGAAGGACACTTGATTAATCTTCTGAAATTGTTTGATAGATTGAGGAAATTCAAGCTGAGGTTGAATCATAATAAGTGCACCTTCGGGGTGAGATCTGGAAAGATGCTAGGTTTCATTCTCAGTGAGAGGGACATTAAGGTAGATCCTGTAAAAATCAAATCTATTCAAGAAATGCCTGAGCCGAGGACGAAGAAAAAGGTTCGTGGTTTCCTAGGGAGGTTGAACTTCATTGCAAGGTTCATCTCTCATCTTACAACCACTTGCAAGCCTATATTCAAATTGTTAAGGAAAGATCAGACGGTCGTTTGGAACAAAAATTGCCAAAAGGCTTTTAAGAAGATAAAAGAGTATTTATAGGAAACTCCGATACTAATTCCTCCAGTGGCAGGGAAACCTCTGATCATGTAACTAACGGTTCTTGAGAATTCAATGGGATGTGTGCTCGGTCAACACAACGAGACGGGTAAGAAAGAACATGTTATTTACTACCTGAGTAAGAAAATCACTGATTGTGAGTCGAGGTACTCAATGTTCGAAAAAACATGTTGTGCACTTGCTTAGGCAGCTAAACTCTTGAGACAATACATGTTAAACCACACAACCCTATTTATATCAAAGATGGATCCAATCAAGTACGTATTTGAGAAACAAGCGCTTTCCGGAAGGATCGCCAGGTGCTAGATGGTTCTGACAGAATATGATATTCAATATGATTCCCGAAAAGCCATTAAGGAAAGTGTCTTGTCAGAATATCTTGTTGAGCCCAACATGCTTTGAACTAGCTCCCTTTGTCTCTTAAATTGCTATGACACCCAATGGCTTGTTCATTTTCTTTTATTTTTTATTTTTTGTCATTTTCAATTTTTTTTTTTATTTTAATTGTTCAACCCATATTAAAAGTTGATTAAAATATGTTTGATATATTTTGACATAATTTTATGACATTTTTTATTTTTATTTTCCAATTATTTTTGTATTTTATTTTGAATTATCTTGTGGATATGTTCTTGATGCTTTACCTTTATGATTAGGGTTTGCGTTGATGCTTTGTGTATGCACTCTTGATCCAAACTTTTTGCCATGATTAGACACTTGGTTTCTTATGGATTAAATGATGATGTGATTCCTTGATATTGTGTTCTTGACCATTTTCCTATGTGATTATTTAAGGCATCGATACATGCTCGATCATTATGATACACTTGCCTTGATGACTTGATTTAATGTTGCACTTGTGCAAATCTTGTTGAGATATTTTTTGCACTTTGTCTTGATGGATATAAAATAAGTTTGAGCTTTTGGTTGGAATTTATTTGATCATTTTTCTATTTTTGGATGATGTATCAAGTTGATGTTTCTTTAATCATGAGTTTGTACATGTCTTAACCTAATCTTTTGAGCTTGATTCAATGGATGTTTGGTGATTCTTATTTTCTTTGGTAGACATGTTTGAGGTTCTGATTTTCATGTATGGAGGTATATTGAATGCTCACGTTGTTTCATTTGCCTTACATGATCATGTATTTCTTCTATGAGTAACCTGAGTTGTGTTTACTTGATTTTTGTGC